AATCTACCAAGATTTTACAAGAAAACATGCCAAAGACAGTAAATTCGCTTAATATCAAAAGGGCGTAAAGAAAACAAAGATGGGTCACCCGAGAAAGGAAAAAAGAGAAAGGAAGATCTGCAGAGCCATGTGGAACTTCATCAACAGCCAATGCCGGGTATTTTATACGAATACGTGATGAGGATGATTTCAATCTGACTGATTGAGTTACGGATAAACAAGAACTGAGAAAGTAGTCGTGAATTCAAAATTGAATTCTAATGTTTTTTCTTGGATTCTGATGAGTAGAAAAATATGTCACCGGCGCTGTTGCTTCTCATTCACGGCCAACCAACGGCATCTCTGTGCGTGCGTGTTCTTAGTGCCTTGCCGAAAGATTGTGTCGAGTCATTGTTATTATTTAGTAATTAGCACGTAAAGTCCTTTCATTGTTGTTATTGTGGAAAACGTCCACACCTTTTGTTTTCTGACATTTTCATCCTTATTTCTACATTTCATTGAGCAAAATATCATTTTCATCCATTTTCTCAATTAAAAATTGTAAAATGACGAAAATACAATTTCCTTTAAATAAAATAAAAGGAAAAAAAATAATTACAATCATAGTCCCAATTTTTTTGAAAAGCGCAAATGAGTCCCAAATAAATTATTAAAAGGGTAATTAGCAAATAATTTTCCTATCTTTCACATTTATTGTGAAAAAAGTCCATAACTTTTATTTTTTTGGTAATTACACATTTTATTGTGCACAACATCATTTCCATCCATTTCCTTCCAATTTCTCAATAAAGAACTGTAAAATAATGAATATACCCTCATATTTAAATAATTTTTTAAATTCTAATTCATTAATAATTTATTTGGGATTCTTTAGCACTTTTTAATTGGGACTCGTTTGAATTTTTTTATTATAAAAAAATTAAATTTTTTAATAATTTACTGGAGACTCATTCGCACTTTTTTTAAAAAAATTGGGACTATGATTGCAATTAATTCTTTAACTTTTTAATTTAAATATGAGAATATATTCATCATTTCATTATTTTTTAAATATTGTTCAATTCATTTTTCCTCTCAAAGCTTTTGACTTCTCACTCTTTCTCTCTCGCTTGTTCTCAGTGGCACCGACAAGTAGCAAAACGATCTACATTGGGTAAGGTTCCATATTGTTTTGACGACATCATTTCTCGTGTTTGATATTTGTTCTTTTTTTTTAGTTCCAAAATAGCCTTGTTGATTGGTAGATCATCGAGCAATTATTGAAGATTTCTATCTAAAATGGTTTGCAATGCCCTAATTTTATGATTTTACATGTGGGGAGCCGGATGGGTACGAGCTCTGGATCGAGACTAGCCTTTCATATGCCCCCTCTTGTACGTACTTCCAGTTACTTATTCTGACGTAGCGAAAGATTATAGGAAAGATGAACAACCTCACAAATATGAGATAAACTCACGAAAGTTTTTATTCAATTCAATAATGTCTGCCTCGAAGGGCTTACAATGGTTTAAATAGCAAAACCCTAGCAAATTTCGGAAAATAAATAATAAAAATAAAAAAAACGATATTT